GGAAGGTCCCGGCGGTTGACGGGGGACTAATCTGGTAACTAATATAATGATATGCAGAATACGCCGTTTTGATAACTCCCTCAACAAGCTGTCCACTTGATGAATGCAACCTTTATCTAAGCTCAATAGTGAGTTCGATATCCGACACATTGACTCGAAGGTAATCTGTTCCATACTTGTAGCGTCTTATCACCGACATCGCGCGATTACATCAGCCCTAGCGAAGACAACCTAACTAGTGTTTGACGGTAGATCTGCTTAAGACTCCTCCAAAGTCCCTGGATCTATGATGGAACGTTCATTGTCACCACGCAACTACAAACCAGACGAGTGCGAGGAGCCTCGAGAGCGAAAGTAAACAATCTGGAACAGGGCCTCAATTTCAATATCTTCTGCTTATCGTTAGTTCATGAAGAGGAAGCGTCGGGATCTTGCTCGGCGTGTGAGATAGGTGTTGCAGTCTGAAACTCGCACGCCCTCGTCAAGCGCGCGGCATTCTTACACATCGAAAGCAGCGTACGCTTTCATGAAATGTATCCAGTAGAATTGCTTCGTGAATAGAGGGCAGTTGTAGCTCTTTAGGTGATTTTCGCGAATAGAACAGTTAATACCAAGAAATTCTTTGCGAAAAATCGGGCCAAAAGCCACAATCAAGATGACTGTCTCCCTAATACAGTTCTGCGTTTCATTTTTAAGCACAAGGTCCACTCTCAATTTGCATTTGGCGGTCCAAGCTGGAAAACTTCCGTATCACCAGCTGATTTTTGGTTTTGCAAAGCCGTTTCATCATTATAAGTCGCACCTTGAAAAGTGATATTGTACATGAGAAGCTCAGCAATCTGAACTGTGAAACTAAATATTTCTTACAAGCAATCAAAAGTGAACTTTTCTGGAAACCGCTTTCGTATTATTGTTTTGAGAAAAGGCCCGAGTTTGTGGCTTCGTGGTGCATCGCTCGGTTTTTGATCAATTGCGAATAGCAGTTCGGGTAAAAATTTCGCCTTGCTCTGTTCATGAATAATTGGAGGGTGTGTCATGTGTTCTATATTACACAGTTATGAAACATTAACAAAAGGTTTCTACGGAAGATTAGAGAAGATTTATGAGGGCTGTCTCAAACAGTGTCTCTGAATTAGAGATAGTCGTAATTGAACGTTTCTGTCTCGAAAAGTATGAAGTGGAAAGAGTTGAAAAGAAGCAGGCAAACTTTAATCCTGTTAAGTAAAGTTATTCAAGTTAGTTAATAGTAAAATTGAATTCACAGAGAGGTTGGACAAAGCTGAGTCTGCGTCACATCACGTAATATAGCTAGATAATTTCAGAATGGTTGGGATGCATAAAAACGATTTGTCAAAAGTTTCTGTGAATATGTACACTTCTGCCTGACTTGTGAAGGTGGCCAAGTCACTTTAGCGTTTGCAAATACAGTGAAGGAGACGTGAATGGTCTGGCTGCTTTCTGTAATGATGAAGTGGCGAAATGTTTATTCCATGACCTGCATAATGGACTGCAAGGATACGGTAGCGCCTCGCAAGGACGTCCTATCCCTTCATTGAGCCTTCGTCTACATTACGTATTTTTATAGAACAATCAGGTACTCATGCAATTCACTTAACCAGAAGCGGCAGCACTCCCAAAATCCAAATTCTGAACAGGTTATTCGGAGTTCTGGTCGCAAATCAGTAGAATATCTCAGGGACATCTTCGTCATGGAGAATCATGCGGATAAACGCCAGTTAGAACTACAAAGAGCTGAAACAAGCAACCTTGAAGCACGGAAGTGAATCGATGGTCATCTGCCTTGGAATCTCAATTCCAGTAGGCCACGGAGGCTATTTGATGTTGCCTTGATAAAGGAGGAACCATATTATTATGTCTATTTTATCTGTCATTAATCTTAGGTAATTGTTCTTTTTCTCAGGGTGACCTTATATTATGAAACGGTGCAAAAATCGAAAAATAATTACAAAAAAGTTCGAAGAAAAGCTGCTCTTGCCAAAAACGCGATAGAGGGGTTATTCGTGGTGGGGAATCAGTTGATGATACTGGAACAATCGCCAGTGCTGCTCGTTCCGGAAATGTAAAATACTGGGGCGACCTTATATTAGGTTGTCCCATAATTAGTGAATCACTTTGGGTATTTTTGAATTCAAATTTTTTTCTTTTTATTCGAAGTCCTTGCTCATCCAAACATACACCTCTGTCATCTACAATGTATTGCCTATACATGGGAATTTAGTCGCTGTCTTCCTCTGAAATTCCAGGAGCTATTGAACGAAGAAAGATCGGAAGTCGGGTTTGAGGTCATGTCACTTAGCGTAAAATTTCTTCCTGAAGAAGAGCGCTAGAGCTCAGACTGAGTTGTCTTTGTTGGCACGAGGATAGGGCACGGCGGAGGTGAAAGAACTGCTAGCCTGGAGTCTCCAATTTTTTTTATGAATATTCTCCGCAAGGTGGGGTCGAACGACCTCAGAAAAAAGCAGACTTTGTCTTGCTTTACTTTCAAATTGAACGCGTCGCCATTACGCTGTAGATGTTGATCTTCTTCAGTGACTCTAGTATTACTGGGCGGCGGTTCCCAGCGCAAGGTCACTCTCGTGCTCCACCAATATCTCGGAAGGGTCGGACTTAAAGGAGGATTGCACGGAAAGAACGAAGGTCGAAGAAGGGAGAAATCGCCTAGTGGGGAGAGCGGTGAATCTCTTGAGGGTGCGGACAGACACGCAATCGGCATCGAAAGATTTGACCTCTGAGATCTAGCATGGCTCAAAGTTGGCGAGTTCGGCGATCTCCGCCCACCGATCGTCTGATCACTCGCCGTAGTACAATAGGTGGCGAGTGATTAGATAGCTGAGAGAGCGTAGGGTTGAAGAGGGCAAAGCGATGAGAGTCCCATCAATGCTCAAATCAACGGACAAGGAAGGGGTCCCATTTCTCCGGTTCTGGGCCGTTTTTCGTGGTTTCGCTTTCTTTCTGGTACTACTCACCATCTCTACCTCAATTTGGAATGGGTTGCTTTTCCATCGTAAATTCGTCCTTTAAGAGGGCGAAGTGCCTCAGCACCAGTTCGGCTTGCTGCCCAGAAGTAATGAATCCGTCATAGCCTAGGTTATTGCTTCGATATACAGGGGGGGGGCCAAAAAAAAAAGACATTTTGCCTATGTCGGACTTCGGCTCTTTTTTCTTCGCAGAGATTGCTGTCGTTGACGGGAGTTCCTCAGCAGAGTATTCCCTAAGTGTTCCTCTATTAGTGTACGCAGGCTCTCCTTCACTGCCCTCACCGTCTTCAGAATATGACGTCATCTGTCACCGTCGTCAGGCTCAAGGAGGTCTACCGTAAGAGCTTCAGCCTGAAGCTCTTACGCAATTTCGTGAATCGATTTAATGTTGGATAGTTTTCTAGAGGCATTAGCTACCACTGTGCAAATCCCCTCGGAACTAGCTTTCCAGTAAGGGTCGTTATGGTACACGATCCTTCGAAGACCCCATTGAGATCGACCAGTGCACCATGTTTCCAGGGCTAATTCTTCTGATGCCGTCCACGTACGTGGCCACTATGAAGATTTTCTTATAGAATGGAATGCACTCTTTAATAATAAGTTGGAACCGTTCGGTCTGAGTTGAGTAAAATGTGCTTAAATCCATCTGGAAGTGGAGGCAAAATGTCTTTTTTTTTGCCCCCCCCCCCTGTATGCTATGAGAATATGAGATTGTGAAGAGACAAACTCCATATTCCAAATCTTTACAACTCTAGGGAGATGCCTAAATTCCATATCCTAACAAGTCGGATAAAAAAAGGATAAAGCATTTGCCGTTGATCAATCCCTTTTTGGGATGCGGCACGCATTCTACTTCCATTTGTACATTCGTAGTGGCGTTTGAATGCGATGTGGCCTATACAATGACTTGCGGGGGCCAGCCGATGTACAAGTCAGTGTTTTTTTTATCCTCCCAGACAAGTCTGGTACCAATTAACCGACCCCGGAGGGATGGAAGGCTTGGTTGGCCCGGGCGACTCACGACCCAGGATTTGATCCCGGACCGCTCGCGTGGTGAGCGCGCCACTTGTCACTACACCACTTCCGCCCCGATTCCCTTTACAAAGCGGATACGTATGGCAAATAGCGACTAGTTTGTCCAGTTTCATACTCAGTGGCGCTAGGTAGGGCAGTAGGATTGACAGTCGAAGGGTACTTGGAGTGTGGGTCATGCCCATGTAAGAAAGCCAACCATGGAATAGATGAACCATAGGTGCACCGTGGATTGACGGAGCGTGCCTCCTATCTGCTGTTGATCCACTATTAGTCGTTTGGTGTTGGAAAAGATCCAATCAGAAAGTGACTGAAGAAAGGTAGCTTCAAGAATATGTTCTGAAAAAAATGATGTAAACAGCCAGGTAAAGCAAGCGTGTCGATGGGCTCTAAATGATCAGTGGGATAGTCGTGGCAAGCTACTCGCCAAACTTGTTCCACACCTTTAATATTTCTTGGGTTTTTCATAGTAGTAAATGTAAAGTTATTCACTCATTAAGGGACAACCTGGTAATTACGAAACGTCTAACTTATGTGATCCTGTTATTTTATTTGACTTATGCTTACAGTTTCTTTCTAATCTAAATTGATGAGCCTTGGAGAAGCTGAAGAGGGCCGCATAAGTGAACATATCAGTGCAGCTTTTGCTCTCAGAATGATGTCTTGTCAGCATCATCACTTCCCGGACACATAGTTATACGGCTGATAAGCGCCGATAATTCTTATGAACCCCCGTTTTCCTATCGACAACGCATGGCTATCCCACTACTTTATTTTATTCTTTAAAATATTTTCGATGTTGTCATGCACTGTTCTCTGATAATTATTTCGAAAATAAGGTAGATAAATATACAAGAGTGACTAACTAGTCTTCCCGAAATAATGTTCTGAGGGGGTGATTAATAAGTTGGCTAAAATGGCTGTAGGGCTAATGCAGGACTAGATCTTTTTGGTAGGTAGGGAAGGTTGATGGGCTCAAATGTGCTCTTGGTGGGGAAAGGGGATGTGTTGAGGGGCACCATGGCGCGTAGTACTCACGGCTTTTGATCCCCTGCGAACATTTTATTTTAATACTAGCTCCGTCTCCCGTTTCCCAAGCAAAATGAATCACCTAGCTCGAAACGTTTCCTCTTCCACTCCTGCGAAAACTTGAAATATTGTTGGCGAGATGAATTACTAAGCACGAGCCCCTACCTCTTCCCAACAATAATTGCGTCTGTTGAATATAACGAGACGTGTTTTCAGGTCCACAATGATAAAGTTTCGCCGGTGGGAATGGTGTACGATGGCCGTGGCTTGCCATTATGTTTAACGCGAATCTTCATTATCATGGGGGCCGTTTTCCCAGCAATTTATCCCGGAGAAGTGGAAAAGGTGAGAAGTTTTGCCTGGAAAATTCCTCACACGGTTTCTTTTTTTTTTTGATTGCAGCAAAGAGAAGATGATGATGAAAGCGATTTTGAGGGTTCCAGGTCCAAACCTATCCTAGCCAAGTCATTAGATCGTCAACAGTGCTTGGGAGTGTCTTGGGAAAAGATTGCTGGGGTTTGACAGGTATTGTCTCGGACTCAGGAGGAGTCTTGCACTTTTAGGCCTGTAAGCAAAACATTCTTAGGTATCCATAAATGCTATCAGCTTGTTTTGTTTGTTAACTGCTGTTTTTGGCCGCAGTTCGCCTTGCGAATGTTTCACAAGAATGCTGGGTTGTGAACAAAACTTTCGCCCCAGGCGGGACCGAACCCGCAAGCCCCGTCTGGCACGAAAGCTTGTTCACAAACCCGCGTTCTTGTAAAGCTACCGCATGTTTCTGAACTCTCTCGATAAAGGCTGATAACATGCGTGGAGTGTTTTCGAGGTCCGTCTGGGAGAAAGATGTAAGGCAGACGTGAATTCAAGCACTTGTCTGTGATGAAGGACCAAAAGCTATCGTAGGTGGAGAGCAGAATCCAATCTTATACAGCAAGAACCAAGCCAAGGGTTGAAACAGTAAGCCACGAACGCTCTCTGTCTGCTTCGAATTGAAGCTTCGAAGACGCTAGATCAATCTTAAAGGCAAATGGTACGATAAATTGTCGTCCGTGAGGGGTAAAAGTGGAGCTTTTAAGAAGAGCAGAAACGAAGAAAAAGCAGAGGGTTCAACTATTTTGAACCAGTGAGGGAAGTGTCTCCCCTTCTCTGTTCATTTCCGCGTTGGGTAAGTCTTATCAGTGCTGTGGTCATCGACGTAAGCGCACTACTCTTCCTCTTTGCTCAAACGATTAAAGACTGATGGCAAGGAATCACAGCTTGAGTAGCCAGGTGGAGGGCGGAAAGAGGCACGAAGGTGCCTAAAGGAACGGCTGAAGGTTTGTGACATCGGTACGGGCATTCTTTTGGTGGGGAACATTCCAGCTCTCTTTCCTGGGAAGATAACCCAAAATAAAACATCACTCATTTGCTCGAACCAAGCCTGGGACTGCCCTCCTGACTGGAGGGCGGAAGTGGTGTAGTGGCAAGTGGCACGCTTACCACGCGAGCGGTCCGGGGATCAAATCCTGGGTCGTGAGTCGCCCGGGCCAACCAAGCCTTCCATCCCTCCGGGGTCGGTTAATTGGTACCAGACTTGTCTGGGAGGATAAAAACACTGACTTGTACATCGGCTGGCCCCCGCAAGTCATTGTATAGGCCACATCGCATTCAAACGCCACTACGAATGTACAAATGGAAGTAGAATGCGTGCCGCATCCCAAAAAGGGATTGATCAACGGCAAATGCTTTATCCTTTATCCTTTTAGGGTGGCTTTGGCGCAATCATACGCTTGAGAATAAGCCAAAGTCATAAGCCCAAGCAAAACCTTAGGCTTCAATGATCGCGCAGCTCTAGCTGACCTAAGAGGTGAACTAAACGTCTCCTCCTTCTCCTCGCTGGAACACAGCCTCTCGGTCTCTCGAGGGCCAAGCCTCCTTGCTAATTGCCATGTCACCTCCTCTTCTACATCCATTTTGTCATGTCACCTGCTTCGAGAACCTGTTTGGGACCTTTCTCTAAGTTTTTTTTTGCATGGGATGGCACAAGCAGTGTTCAACCCCATTTTCATGTTCACTGGTACCGGAAATATTAGTAAGTAAAATATTATCACTTGAATCTCAGAACGGCTAAGGTATGATATTATCATTGAATCTCAGGACCGATTGAATTTGCAGATCTGCAACTCACTCAAATGCGATCAAGTTTCGGCTAATTCGGCTTTTATGATGGCGAATCCCGATAAAGAATGTGATGCGCTTATTTTCCTTTCTTTTTTCAACGTCTCAAATGCGCGGGCGAGATTTAGTCGTACGTACGGGCGAGAAACTCCTTGTGAACGCAGTCCTATGCAGTGATGTGAGCGAATATTTTTTTTACTGATTTCATTTTTTATTAGGTTGCCTTGAAGCAGTTCCTTGTTTCTACTTTTACATGTGAATCTTCTTTCTACACAGAAATTTCAATCTAATGCCTATAAAATATGGAAATGAAATTTTCTTTGGAGCACATCTATGTATTGTGAGTTCCTTCATCTCTCCCTCCCTCTCTGTTTGATTGAGACTGAGTTTCTCATATCACAATGCCTTTATAGCGCAAGAGTAAGCCATTCCGCCCTGCCAAAAAATCGACTGCTTTACACTACGCAAATTGGATTTTTTTGTTATTTACGAGTAGCTGAAAGGATGCCTTTAAAGGAGGAATTCACGATTAGAAGGAAGGTCGAAGAAAGGGAAACTGACCTAGTTGAGGGACCCACGGACCTCCTGAGGGTGCGAACTGACGCGCAATTCGCATGGAAAAATTTGACCTCGGCGACCTATCATGCCTCAAAGCTGGCGGGTCCGGCGATCTCCGCCCACCGATCATCTGATCACTCGCCGTAGTTCAATACGTGGCGAGTGATTAGATAGCTGAGAGAGCGTAGTGTTGAAGAGGGCACAGCGATGAGAGTCGCATCAATGCTCGAATCAACGGGCAAGGAAGGGGTACCATTTCTCGGGTTCTGGGCCGTTTCATGGTTCTTCCTTCTTTCGTGTACCACTCACCATCCCTAGGGTTAATTTGAAATGGGTTGCTTTTTCATCGTGAATTCGTCCTTTAAGGGCAAGCCACGCTTTTCCAAGAAAGGTTTCTTGCATATTGTAGGGGCGCATGTAGGGAACACAAAACCATGTTTCATTTTCGCTGAACGGTTATAGCAGTACCAAAAAAGAAGCATAAGGTACTGTTAATGGTTCGATCCCCCGTGGCGACTAAATTTTGCATTTGGGTTGGCGCCTACGGTTTGGTGCCAAATCGCGCTAAATATCAAAATCAGATGTCAATTCATCGTCAGGACCATTTTGAAGCCAACAAGTGGCCGCCAACCTTGATTGCAAAATTTAGTCGCCGCGGGGATTGAACCATCAAGGGTATCATTCACCACTTTTTTGGTACTACTAAAACCGTTCAGCGAAAACGAAACATGGTTTTGTGGTCCATACATGCGTCCCTACAATATGCAAGAAACCGTTTCCAAAAAGCGCGGCTTGCCCTGAAAGACCCCCTTGTTAGTGTGTAGGTCATATGTGTGATTTTGTGAGATGTACTGCCTGATTCAAGGGCTTCTCTGATAGTTTTCTTCACTTTGCAAGTCTCACGCAGCGCCAATGTCGCCCGATTTAATAACTTCTAAGACCCCTCCCTACAGCCATCAACGTCACCATCATGAATGTTCCCGCACCATTGTGAGCCCCCCACGCCAGCAGCACCATCACTTCTCGACCATGACTATAGTATTTGATTCTGGCATTCGCAAGTGTCTGTGTGTTCTGCAACCCTCCCCCAAAAGCTCTTTCAGCAGCTCGACGTGTGAGTGCTGAAAGCTGTTTCAAAATTTTTGTACCAGTGGATAGAAGACCAAATAATGGATTTTGCCCATACCATGAAATTTCAGTGGAGAATATGAAAAAACAAGTACAATCTCCTACTCAGATTATCCGACCAGGCAGTTGACCCTGGACCTCCTGATAAGGCCTCTTCCAAAATCTTTTTTCGTAAGATTCTTCTAAAAACAACTCCCGCTTGGTTTCTTCATACGGCTGATTGACCTCTCTCTGACTCAGGCTCGCATTAGCAACTATGAATGGGTTCAAAAAAAAA